TCCATATACTGATTGTATCAAACACATTTTGTCCATATGTTGCCACCATCGTTTTAAAAACATTTTCTTCCTGATTGAGCCCTTGGTATCAGCTTTTTTTCTCACGCCCTCCCCCACCTCCTACCCTCACGAACCCCTGATAAATTATGTGCTGTGTTCTTTCACACATGTTTGAAAGCCTCATCTTTTATCCATGGAGCCACTAGTGGTTTCAAACTGCTGACCATGCAATTAGCAATCCAATGCGTAACCCACTAGCCACCAGGGTTCCTTATAGCTGCAGGCATAGAGTGGAGAATTATAATACGTCACATATGGGATTATGACACCAGGACTCCTTAATGTATAATAGGTGGAGATTAAAATTTTTTAACCCACAAAGAGAGCCTGCCTGTTGATGTTTTGTTAGTTGTCTTTTAAGGTGACAGCCTCTGAAACCCTGTGGTTAAAACGAGGCCCCTGTGAGGTGGCATCAAGTCAACGGCTCATAAGCACAACACAGGAAACTACCCCAGAGGAGTGCACTCATGTAATCTTCTCCTTGGTAGTTTACATGCGAGGACTTCGGAAAGTTCATGGAATAGTGGCTTTTTTATGTTTTCTTGAGATGTGATTACTGTCATTCATCCATTTGAAGACTACCATTCCATGAGTTTGAGTTTCATAGTTGAACAGCTGGTACCATAGTCATTGTAGAACATTTTCTTCACCCTAAGAAATGATAACTTACGAAATCTTTAACTCCTTACACCTAGCCTCCCCCCTCCCCCCAAATATTCAAATCTGCCATTAATTCCGTTTCGACTGAGAGTTTCAGAGACGGTAAATCTTTACGGAAGCAGACAGTCTCATCTTTTCCCTGAGGAACAGCTGGTAGGTTTGAACCACAGACAGTACCATTAGCAGCGTGATGCCCAATCCCCCAACCACCCAGGCTCCTGACCACCAGCCCAAGGCTGTTCTGAACATTACACTCTCTGGCCCTTTTTATAATGAAACACCTAGCTCTCTCAGCATGTTTGGATTCATTACCACAGACTGCCATAGTTGAGTGTTGGCTGGGCATGAAGTTCACTGGCCAGGAAACTGGATTGCCTGTCGAGAAGAGAATTCTGTTACTGAGCCACCAGTGACCTCTTTAATAAAACTTACATGAGGATTAAATTGCCATTTCCTTTCATTTTTTAAAAATCTTGGTGAATATGTATGTAACAAAGCATTAGCTGTGTTTCACGTCTGTCATCTGGTGTGGCAGTGTGTGATTCACCCATCACCACGATCCATTTCCACTTTTGTCTGTCACCCTTGACAGAAGCTCTGTAATGAATCCCCTTCCATTTTAATAGGATCAACTCCACCTGAGAGTTGTAACATCTGACTAAACCTGCGGTAACTTTAGTGTAGTCAGCACTGAGAACCTATGCAAGTCCCCGTCCGTTCTGTTTGTTTTCTCCCCTGTAAGGTGATTACACGCAGCTAAGGCCCTGGAAGGAATTAGCGATGGTGCACAGATGATGGCATGAATTCAAGGCACAATTAGAACTCCACCAGCCAGCATGCTGGGCACAGATTTGAAGAGTTTAACACTGTGTTGCTCACTTGGTAGTATAGGACATGGCTCCTCAAACTTTTTAAACAGGGCCAGTTCACTGTCCCTCAGACCATTGGAGGGCCAAATTCCTATGCATGCTGCACATATCTTATTTTGAAGTATAAAAACAAATGGGGCAAAAACACCTGGTGTGCTGGATAAATGTCCTCAGCAGGCCACATTTGGCCCCCGGGCCGTAGTTTGTGGACGCCTGGTATAGTATTATTTATCCAAGGTATCAAAGCATATTTGCAGGAATCACCTTCAGATTTATAACTTGGGTTTGGATTTTATTATATATTCTTAACGTACTTTTACCAATTAAAGCTTGATGTACACCCAGGGATATTTTATAAGTCAACCACTGGGAGCCAGTGCCCCCTCCTTTCTGTTCTTTTTCCCGTTCCCTCTCATAAACTCTCACCTTCATGGTGGTAGCAATGAAGTCTACGATGACCATTGGCCACCATGGGCTCTTAGGGGAGTTAATGTTGTATTTCCTTCAGTGTTTGCTTTTATGGAGTCGCTTGGGATAAACTTGGGATTGACTTTTTCCGACAGACTTGCCCCGAATAGACTTCAGCAGTATAGCTGTGCCTGGCACATCGGGCTCCCGGCAGCGCCAGCCACCAGGAGTACAGCAGCCCCACACCTCCCCTGGAGACGGAGCTTCTTCTCCTCAGGGCTTGGACAATCCAGCCTTGCTCCGAGACATGCTGCTGGCCAACCCCCACGAACTGTCCTTGCTGAAGGAACGCAATCCACCGCTGGCAGATGCTCTGCTCAGTGGAGATCTTGGTAAGCTGATACATTTGGAAGGCAACAGTTGAGTTGTGGTGAGATAGTTATGTCATAACAAATATGGGAGAGACTCAGGAGACTGGTGCGTCCAACCACCATGTCTCCTGATTTGTGGGGCATGTCCATTGGTCTGTGGAAAGAAGGCTGAGTTCACTGGCAGTAGCAGCAAGTAGGTTTTAGGATTACATAAAGCATCAAACCCCCCTAGGCCAGTCCCCTTGTTTTATGTTCTTTGCTAGTTGGTTCTAGCAGCGCACTTTTGGCCACTTAAATTAGATCCTTACTTGACGAGATCACTAATAAACCAGCCAATGCCAATTGAGATCTCTTTGAATGAAATCTCTTGATGTCTGTATAGCAAAGTAGAATACCATGTTCTCATCTACCCCAAGACTTGGTACCCAAAACTGTTGCCAACAGTTTGTTTTGAATTGTATTTTAGCTGTTCTTTTACTCAGCAGAACATTTTCCATCATCTTTATGAATAATGTTTTTTCTGTATAAAAATAATGGAATAAAGCTCATTCTACTTGTTTATGAAATTGTGCTGATTAAATTATAGACTTAATAATTCATTGTTGAATTGGTCATTTAAAAAAATTGAGTTAATATCTGCAGGCAGATGAGGGCTGATTTTAAGTATGTGATTTGATGAGCTGGGTGTTGGTACACACTCATGTCACCATCTTGTCACTGAAGAAAGTCACTCCCTCTCTCGTTTCCCACAGGTCGTCCCTGTGCTGCTAATCATAGTGCTGCCAGTGTGTGTAGTGGGATTATAGAGTGTGTGCTCTTGCCAGTCACGCTTTTGCAGATGCACCATGTGTGTATTAACCCATATGGCCATTATCTTGACTTTGTTGATTTCTTAGTCTGCATGTCCAATTGCTGAGAATGTGACAATGGCTTGTTTAGGTTTAGACATTTCACTGTCCAACCATTTAAGAAATAGCAAAATAAAAGTTCTTGTTTTAACCACCACTCTTACGTAGCACGTCCTGTTTCCTTCGTGTTGATTTTCCATTAGGACACACAAAACACAGTAGGCTGACCATAAACGACTGGTTTGATTAGGTCAGAGGGTGTTATGAGGAACTGAGACTAGGGGCAAAGAGCCCTGTCATGCTTTCTCTGCCTGTCCGCCAGAGAACATTGGCAAGGGGAGGGCGGCACTGATTGGCCTCAAGGTGTAGTTAGCTCCTCTTTGATCTAGCTCTCCCTTGATCTAGCTTGGCAGTTATTACATCTGAGTAAAGACAATATGATGCTTTATTGCACCGCATTTAAGTGCGGAAACGGACTTGCTTCAGAGAATCAAAGCTGAGTTTAATTGCTTACTCCAAACCATTCTTTTTTTTTTTTTTTTCAAACCATTCTTAACACTTCAACCTCTATGCATCTCTTCTACTTGCTTTCTGTGTCTGAAAGAATCAATAACAAGTGAAAACAGGAGTCGTCAAAAAGCTCACGGAAAGCATTCCATTAACTTTTCTCCTCATTTCTCCGTGAACTTTTTCAAGCCCCCTGGTCCAGCAGTACGTAGACACCAATGTAGACCTTTATTTTTGCAGAGAAGTTTTCTAGAGTCCTGGTGGAACAGCAGCAGGACCGAGCCCGGAGAGAGCAGGAAAGGATTCGTCTCTTTTCTGCTGATCCTTTTGATCTGGAAGCTCAGGCAAAGATAGAAGAAGATATAAGGTAAGACACCTTCACCTGAATGGCAGGACTCCGAGTCCAGATTTCCCAAATGTGGATCGGCTTGCATTATTGGGAATCTGCCTGGAAGCTGTTTCCCTGCTTTGTAGTTGTGGTAGTAACTTCAGTCTTTGGCGGATTTTCTCCTCTTCCATTTTGTCACACATCGGTGAAAAACTGTACAAGGTTAGGTACCTAACTTAATGACTGTCTCTCCTCCCAAAATTTAAAGAAAGCCTCTGGCTTGCTGACAGAAGAGAGGCTTGCTAAAGCAGCTCGAGGTACGGAGAGCCCACCAGACAAGCTCTGCAGGTGACTTGACTTCCTTCTTTAGACAGAGTGTGTGAGTCTAAGTCCAGGGCTGAAAGTCCTAAGTCTGTTGTCCTTCTGCACTGGGTAACAGAAACGCTTACCTTTCTAGCACTGGGCTCTAGAACACAGCGCTTTACATCTGGGGCTGGATGAAAATCGCGTGAGAGGCGTTTTAAAGTTTAGTCTTTAAGATGTCGGCTCTACCTCCAAACCTGATGATCAGAGTCTGCAGGCTCGGAGTTTAGCAAATAAAATAGCACTGATCCCAGCCTTGGTGGGTTTACCAATCACAAACAAAATGACGTTCAGTCAGCTTCTTCGAATAAAAGAACCCTGACAGTGTGGTTTTTGTTGCTGGTTTTGACAGTCTTACTGGAAGAAGAACAACAGGACTACTTTATCCTGAGTGGCCTTTAGGGGCTGTGCCATCAACTGTAATGAAGCCTAACCTGGTCGTTTTATTACAGTATCAATTTGGGGAGCCAACTAATGAGGCTCTTTATTTTTCTGACTACGGTTTTAATAAGAGACATGTAAATTGTATTCCAGACTCAGTCGACAGCCCTCAGCCGTTTCCTCTGGTTTCTGTTGCCTTAGAGCCCCTGTTAGCTGCATCACTTCCATCTTAGTTAAAGTTGCCCAGAGCACTGGAGCCCATTAGTGTTCTCTGAAGGTAGACTGCATTATGGGCAGAAGGGAGAACGGCGCAGGCTTGTTAAGAAT